ATTGTAATTGGATTTTATTAAAATATGAATATACGTTAACAAATATTAATAGTTACTAATATTCATTATAATGAAGTACCTGCGAATCAATTCTATTGCATCTTCACTGGACATTCCAAGTTCCATTAACGCAACAGCTACCAGAACCGGAGCCCTTAAATATTTCAGTTTAAAAAAATACAAAAGGCTGACACAGTTTAGTCAAGCCACTATACAAACGACAGTCTATTGAGTAAAACGATATATATCATTTTAAAATGATTCAAGGAAACAATACGTATTACATATAGGTTTTAAGCTAAATACGCAAATAACTCTAAAATTGAATTCCTTTTATCACTAAAATGAAACTAAATAAACTTACATTGCCCTGGAAAATCAATAATGGCAAATCACTACTATCTGTTAGTTAAATAATTCTGAATTCGGATGTGATTTGGGAATTTCTAAAGGAAAGTTTGTCCTTCAGGAAGCCAGAAATAAAATGCATTTCGAAACTAATTATAAAGGGTAATGCAGACAGGATCAATAACTGTGGTTGATACTAAGCCATATCATCTAACGTCTCAAACAACTGATTCCAGTTATCACGCGGATCTCAAATGAGTAGTTTACGTTTATTAAAATGGCTTAGACAGCCAATAACTTCGCTAGTATGGTAGATATGTGAGCATTAGTTAAAAATCTCCGTAAACCAGAAAGTTGTTTAATCCTAATGCACAATTGCTGATTGTAGGTAACCACAACCTCACCTTGTTCTTTGTTTTGTTACTTATTTATAAGGACAAGATTTATTTTTTTCTTATTCATATCCTTATTAAAAACATTTTGTCAACCCATATATATATATATATATATTTCAGTCAATGGAGCAATTTCTTCTCAATAAGGATATAAATAAAAAAGATAAATCTTGTCCTTTTAAACAAGGAGCCAAATAAGGGAACGATTTCCGGTAGAAGAGGAAGGTAGAGAGAAAAAGGAACAGAAATATTTAGTGGGTTGGAAAATTCAAGTTCTTGAAGAAAATTGACAACGATGCTTTCATTTTTTCAAAAAAGGACATGAAAAAACACTGGGTAACAGCGTTATACCCCATTAGATAAGTGTTTTTAACCCAAAATGAATTAATGTTTACTTTTCAAAATTGCGATGTTAGCCATTGTAGTAATAAGTAACTAGAAAAACTAACTAGTATAATGGGGGTATATTTTCAGCAGGAAAGACGAGTTCAGTTACAGACAAGATGCCTACCTACTGTAAGAACTTCTCTTTGACTAGAGCAATATATAAACCGGAATTAGTTGTTTATTGATACTTACGAGGTTAGGTAGGGTATTTCTTACCATGAACTGCTATCGTTCATGTTTGACTTAATGAACAAAACTAGATGATTACTGTTCAAACGAGTGAAAGCTTATGGCGAACTGTCATCAGAATTGATTACCTCAAGTGGTGTTCGTCAGGGCTGTCCACTCTCCCCATTCTTGTTCAACTTTGTGGTCGACGTACTTTTAGAGATAACACTCTCCTCATCTAAATTTCCAGGGGTTGAACTTCTACCGGGAGGTTCACTTGTTGACTTAGAATATGCAGATGACATAGTTTTATTTGGTGAAGACGCTGACAAAATGCAGAGTCTTCTGACCACTCTAAGTAACAATGCAAGCATGTTCGGGATGCGATTCTCTCCCTCGAAATGCAAAATGTTGCTTCAGGATTGGGTTACATCGACACCCGAACTAGTGATAGGGAGTGAAGTAGTTGAGTGTGTCGACCGCTTCACTTATCTTGGAAGTCTCATCAGTCCTTGTGGTTTAGTGTGTGACGAAATCTCAGCACGGATACATAAGGCTCGACTAGCTTTTACCAACTTGCGTCATTTATGGCGTAGGCGAGATATCCGTCTATCAACCAAAGGACGGGTTTACTGCGCAGCAGTTCGTCCCGTCCCACTTTATGGCAGTGAAACATGGCCGGTAAGAGTAGAGGATATTCGTAGGTTACTAGTGTTTGATCATAGGTGTCTTCAAAACATTGCTCGTATATCCTGGGACTACCGAGTAAGTAATACAGTTGTTAGGAAACGGGTACTAGGTAAGGATGGCAAATCAATTGATGAAGTAGTGAAATTTCATCAGTTGAGATGGCTGGGACACGTGTTACGTATGCCCAACGACCGACTATCTCGACGTGCTATGTTCAGTGGTATAGGAGTAGGTTGGAAGTAAGCTAGGGGCGGCCAAACCAAAACATGGCACAAGTCCATGAAGTCACTGACAAGTGGACTGAGTCATGTTGGTAGGTGTAGACTACCTGGTTGGGGACCACGAGATGATAGCAACCTATGGTTAGAGACCCTGAATGAAATGGCTCAAAATCGTTTGCAATGACACAGGTGCATCCACTCTTTGTGTTCTCCCAAATTCTAATCTTCTGAATTCTTCATGTCCCTTTTTTCCTCTTTCCAAATTTATTTCACTGGATTATACTCTTTAAATAACATCTCCAAACCCTAATCTTTCCGATTACTGCTTATAATCTTGCTACCTCTACCACTACGGGATTTGAATCGACAACTGCATCTCTGTGCTAATGTGGTGTGGCAACTCGAACTGGTGTACGTACGTACGAAGTTCTATGTTGTTACTGACTGACTGACCGTTCAAACGATTTGATACTGCAACTAACACGTTGCTTTGAATTTTTACAAATTTTATCATCAAACCAGGGCAAATTTCATCCAAAGAAATACTAAAATGCAGAAAAATCAGTCATTTATATTTAAATTATTCACTTAGAGCACTGGAATGGATAAACAAACACTGAGCGTGATATACGTGTATATATTTGTATGGGAGAGAGAGAAGCACACCTATGGCAAATGTATTACAGGATTCACAGTAATGACCGGAAATGTTTGTATACAAGTCAGCACACGAACATAAAACATTGTGAAGAAAGATCGATGTTGGAAATACCTAATCCAAATATCTCTAAAACTATGTTTAAATACCAACGTCTATTCAAGATAAGTATTTAACGGAGGACGAAAAACTAATAAATCTTGACTAGATTAAGGTCAAACGAGAACTTAGTAACCAATTATTTTATTTACAGCTTTAAATATATATATATATATATATATATATATATATATATATATATATATATATATATATATATATACGATATTCAGAAAGACAGGTTATATCCCTCATTAAACATGCAGCATGAGGTTATTAAGTATGAATATGAAATGAGAAATATCGATAGTGCTAGCTGAAAATGTGACAAAACGATTACAAGTTCATAGCGTTCGAGCAAAGAACCTTAAGGTCAACAATTCAAAAATTATTAAATATAGACAGGACTGTTTGCTCTCATAAACTTAACTATACGAGTAACTGACAACCATTAACCTTAATGTGACAATTCAAATCCGCCGTGTTCATAACCCAGTCGGGTTTTATAGAATGGAAAGCCGAATTTTCGCGAATCTCTACAGTCACAACAAGAATTTCTGGAGAGTGTTACGACAGAAACGAGTAATTATTGTAAAGCAAAATGATTTGCATTGATCTCATCACTCACACCCCCACCAGCACTTATGCAGCTACCCAGATACACGAACTTCTCGACTACGTCTGTCTGCTCACCATCCAGGGTGAGTACAGGATTGGAATCCTGCCAGTCTTGTAGAAGTACTTTGCACTTCGAAGGTGCAAAGCACATACCATACCTACGGACATTGATTGCCAACTGATTAAGTGCGGATTGCATGCCTTGGGCATTATCGCACAGTAAGACAATATCGTCCGCATACTCAAGGTCGAGAAGTCTTTCTCCAGGCAACAGATCCACACCACCATTACTTACATTCATCAGAGCTGTTTCCAGAATGTCATCGATGGCAAAGTTGAAGAGGAATGGTGAGATTGGGCAACCCTGCCTAACCCCACTGCTCGAATGGAACAATGGAGAGAGGTGGTTGTATGGACATCGGAACATGAGAGGTGCGGTTTGGAAGGAAGAAGTGGGGTTGAGGAAGGAAAATTTGGGAGTAAGACTGACGTGGGTCATATCAGAAGTAAATCGCTTCATGAATTGGTACTGTGTTGATCTGAACATTCCTAGCTTTTATCTAACTTAACTCTAAGCCAGCCAGAATCGTGCTAAGTTAGGTAGTGATAAGACACGTGTAACATAAGTCTCAACCACCCCATCTCATCCAGCACGTTACATCTAATTCCAATAACACCCACTGTGGCACGACTTAGAAGAAGCCTAGTGCTTGGCGCATACATAGCTTCCACTCGTATAGGTTGAAATTCACAGCTATCCAGGAATGCAAGATGACCAGTTGCGCACTAGAATCCTTCTTTGGTTGGCATACGGAAATCTCATTTACAACACAATTGACAAAGGCCAAGGTTTGTAAATCTGTTCCAAGAATTAGTGGGATACCTAGTCACTAGAGCTGGTTAACGAGCTTAACTACTTTACTCTGTATGGCAAAGTTAGGAATTAACACAAACCAGTCACCAAGCAACACTTCATGATTAGGGAGAGAAACGTATGCCAAACAATGGCTAGATTGTTATTCAAATGACTCAGAAGACAGTATTTTGTCAACATCCTAAACAAACAAAGCCATTATCTCCCCTACCCCCAGATACCCTGGTATGGCCGACAGTGGGGTGGGTTCGCCCTCCCTCTCGAAATACTCTCACACGGCCACACGTACACAGCCTCTGCCAGGGAAGTCCTTCTCACTACCTTCTCGTGGGGTGTGTATCTGGGTAGCTGCATAAGTGCTGGTGGTCGCGTGAGTGATGAGATCAATGCACGTATATTGAGAGCCAGAGCGGCTTATGCCAATCTGGGCCATCTTTGGCGCCTTCGTGATGTTAGTCTGGCTGTAAAAGGTCGGATCTACAATGCGTCGGTCAGAGCAATTTTGCTCTATGCCTGTGAAACCTGGCCTCTCCGAGTTGAGGACGTTAGACGACTCTCTGTGTTCGGTCATCGTTGTCTCCGAAGGATTGCAGACATCCAGTGGCAACACCGTGTTAGTAATACAGAGGTTCGCCTTATAAATGAAGTAATAATATTGTGAAATAAAAGGAAATCATACAATTTGTCAATAAATGGACAAGGCTAGTATCAAATAAGATACAGCCAAGAAAGACACATTTCAGTTGATAGAGTTAATCTCCCTTTGTGGGGAATGTAGTAGAAAATTATGACAGGACTATGATAATTTTGTGCACTAAGCTATTATTTCGCAACTACGAATTCAACACGATGAACGAGACTACTACTATCTTTTTCTACATTGTCGCCAATTAGAGTGAAAAGTCTATGTTGTATACAAGCTTTCTTCATAGAGGCGCTAGAAGAATCACATTACTTATTTAAATTATGTATCGATTATTAACTACAGAATTTCATCAAAAAAGGTGTTTGGCTTCCTTTAAAAGTTGGCAATTTGAAATCTGTGTTACGCACGTCTAGCCAGCTTCTGCCTTGATGATCAATGCTTGCTAATATATAAGTAGTTTGGAAGAAAGCTAGTAGCCATACGAAAATGTAGCGTCAGTTCATGAAGTCATAGATTATTGGTATGAGTGATAACTGTGATCAGTGGTTGGAGATTTTGAGTGACATCGCTCAGAATCCTTCAAAATGCCATAGACGCGTTCATTCTTTACCTTATTCTAGATTTCGGACTTCAGTACACCGTACATCTTTTCACTGTCTTTTCATAACATGTCCCCAAGATTTAGTCCTTCTGATTTTCATTACTACTACGTTATTTCGATCTTTTATTATTTTTATCTCGTCGTGTTAATCAGGTATGGTAACTTGGGCAAATGAACATATGTACCAGGCTCTATTTCGCTGATGCCTGTCCGTTTAATTATGTTACGTAGTTGATTAGTGCCTAGCCTGATTGGCTCTTCCTACAGCCACTTTCTATAAAAACATACCTCCTATTCATCAGCTACGGTTAGTTCATTCGGGTCCCCATATATGAGCAAATCAAGGACCCATAAGTTTATAGACATAGCTTTATCAGCTATCAAGGCCTATTCGGGTGCCCAAGCCAAAGTAATTGGGGTGCGGTCCAAGCCTGTTCCGTATTAGTTAAAAGCCAATTCCATGGACAATAAGGCACAGAACCTTACTTAACTACAACCGTATGTCTAAATTCAGGTTTGACTTAACGGTTTAGACGTACGATCTTCGATCAGTAAGTCAAGGGTTTAAAAATCAGCTTTATATATTGTTTGTGAAATTAGTATTACCAACAGTTTGCATAAAATGAGCGACTGACATCCTATTACATAAATATTCACGTGGTTGTTGCAACAATATTTGTCCACTATGACAAGTTGGAAGAAAACTAATAAGATGCCTAAAGAACTCAATAAAGCCAAAAGCAATAAATAAGTTATTGACTGAGATTAGAGAAAGATAATAAGCCTTTGGAAAAACGTCAATCAAATGAATTATAAGTATTTGATATGCAGAGGAACAAAACTCCCCAAATTTAATTTAGTATACAGAAATTGAGTGAGATTTTCACTGGTTTTGAATGTGATCTTAACCTAGTTAATTTTCACTGCGTTTTATCATATTAATTAGCTCTCTCTGATTTCGTGTCCAAGTGATAGTTGTTTAGTTTAATAATTTTCGTAAATACCAATCACTGAATTGAATCGGTATGTAATTGAGTGAACTTAATATATTTTGGATTTTTCAGAGGTCTATACTAGATGTGTTTTGGAGTAGTAGGCGTTTTGAGGAGAAGGGAAGCTTTCATATTTTAGTTCGAAGAGTTGTCAGATAAGTCACTTTTATCACAAATCATATCAACGGTTGAATAAATAACAATTCAAGTAAGTTGGGGTTAGAAGCGGTTTTGCTAATGATTGATAAAAAGACTTGTCACCATGTGCAGGAACATAAATATCAGGGAAAATGTAAGTTATTTGACGCTTGTCCTTTTGCGAAAAGCCGCAAACAAAAATATATGTATAAAAACTAAATGAATATCAGTGGCTTGAAGAAATAGATGGCGAACCTTACCTTCCATATCCAGCTATACAATGAACAGCGATTGGCCCAGGTACCAGGTGGTTTTGATCATCATGAGTGCTATTATTTTCCCCATAAAATCGATTTCTGAGGAGAGTGAACCATTCTGTGAGAATATTCTCTGGTGGAGGCGAACCATCACTGAATTCCCAATGCTAATATTTTTTTCGATAGAATCAGAGAGGACAACATAAAGCTGTGATTAATAATATAATAAGTAAAACTTTCGTATATGGGGAAACAAATAGTTGCTCTCTACAACAGAAACCTAGATTTTTGAGATGAAGAACACAAAGTAAAATGGTCCAAGCCTTAAAACTGAGTGATTGTAAAATTAAATAAGTGAAGAAAAATGAATATACTTTTACATTAATCGTCATGCGAGTGTGCCTGTTTGGATACATTGGTTGATAACTCTAACAGATTGTTTACCTCTAGATAGTAACGTATTATATATCATATTCCAGTTACAGCTAAAATGGTTTACAAAGAAATCAAGTGAAAAATCTGAAGCTGGGATATATAAGGAAGAACTCGATTTAAAAGGTTTAGATACTGCTATAAATTTGCATAACATGGGTGCATTAATGGGACCGCCCCCGAATGCCCTGGTACGGCCGAGAGTAGGGTGAGTCCGCTCTCCCTCTCGAAATACTCTCACACGGCCACGCGTATACAGCCTCTGCCAGGGAAGTCCTACTCATTGCCTTCTCGTGGCGGGGGTGTTGTTTACGAAAATGAGAGGACGAAAAGCGAATGTCCGGCGCTTTAACCGGATCACAAACCAATGGTGTACATGGGCTCCAGTATCCTGCGGGAACAAATGGCGTATGAACCAATCTTTGGTCACCGGCTACCATGGGATTGCATCTCCTTACGATGCTCCACTGCCTTGTGGATTAGACCTTTAGGTCAAAGGCTCGGGGAGTGGCCCCCTAAGATAACCACCTGCTTCGGTTTGGGCACCCGGGCAGTATTGCAGCCCACACACAATTTGTGTGGCGCATATATATTGGCGCTCTCTTGTACCAATATTCATGTGTCCAAATAAAAAATAATAATAATAATTAATGGGACTAGGTTTTTTTTACAGACATCATCCAAGACCTTAAAAACTGTATGTCTCCAGATAACTCACGAACCGATGCATACCCCTCTCAAAAGTCTCTTACTCTATTGTGATTTCGGCATATAAGATACGTCACTTAATACGTAGGATTGTTAGGCAGGTGTTTTAGCTACCCAATATTTAACTGGAAGGAACTATCTAGTGTTGACCCCTTAACCATAACTATCGTACGAGCTGGTACACATGTGGATCGGTTCACGCCCCCACGCATCGGAAGGGCGAGTTGAAATGACTGAAACTGGGTAGCAAAGTAGAGGTAGCATCACGAATAGTAAAAACAATTGAACGCAGATAATATGGAGTTCGAAAAGAGATAGATTCACAGTATAAGCAGCATGAAATAGTATCTCACATGAAAACTAAAGGGGGAGGGATGGACAAAGAAACGTACTGAAACCTGACATTTTATCAACGGTCGCAAAACCTGGTGCTAAATCGAAGTCAGGCAAAAATCGTCAGCAGGCATATATCAATAGATCGAACCTTATCACCTTTAGACAAATCAATGAAACTGAACAGATGCATCGACTACTACTTTCCGCTTATTTGAAGCAAGATGAACTTTAAATACCTTGAATATACAGCTTCGGGTAAATGGAAAACGAATGACATTCTAACAGAACGCTTTTTCTTCAGTATTTCTCATTCTAGTTAGTGAATAAAGTATCTAAGTCGCACTTATAAAATCAATACGAAAGGGGATACAAAGCACACATTTTCCACACAATAACAATGAGGCCAGTAGCAGTTATCATTGGTTCGCGTGAGGGATGTGATACTGCCCGGGTGCCTTAGCCGAAGCAAAGACGCATATAGAAACTAGTTAGTTCCTCGCATGTTACAATAAACTGAGGCGAATTCAAATTGATATACTGGCTTGAACTCGCATTTAAAAGTGTTAAGAGTGAATACGCTTGATGTTCTACAGTGACTTTTCGATAATAACAAGACTAAGGATATTGGTGAACATACATGTACACATATCCCAGCATTTTCAAAAGGTTCCACAGGGTACCGGTCTTCACATACACGAACAACATCAGATACGTTAAGCTTCGAACATTCCTATCAAAAGAAAATTGATGATACGTCGATTATACAAATACCTCCACAAAGTAAGGCACATTCGTTTTCGAAGGAGAATCCATAATAATAAAATGCATCCCTTTGTGTTTGATGTCAGTAATGATAGGCAATCGCAGAGTTCTTGCACCCATTGCTGACAATCGACAAGATTCTGAGTTACATCGGACTGAGAAATGGAGAACACCTGTGCTGCATCACTTTGAATTGACACCTAAAGTTGAGTCTCATAATATGATGCATATTACTTGAAATATTTTGCAACTTCAATCTTCGAAAATATTTGAAAGTTTGAAAATAGTTGATGACATACTGACCTTTCACCGTTGTTAGTGAGCACTGGAGTTGTTAGCACACTTTCAAATACTGTTGTTGTTATCGTGCCTACAGGTTATATTACTTTTACACACTATGAAAACTGTATGTATTCATACAAAAATCGGTACTCAAGATAGTTTTCACATGTGTAGTTTTTAGTTCGTAGTCTGGAAAACACTATTGAGTATTTGTAATATTCAGTAGATATACGCTTAATTCTGTGTTTCCTTATTTATATTATCGAAGTGAAAATTAGACTTCACACAACCAGTTATGACGGCGAATATAAGATTGCAGTAATCTACCAAAGCTGCCGATCGTATTTTTGGGGATCTTGATTACGGTATCATATTTATGAATTATTTTATTTTCATTTTATGAAATGTCTGAAAATAGGTTACAAAAATCTGTCAAGTTTAATATTTGCCATGTTCGGATTATTTGTAGTTTTGTTGAATATCACTTTCGTGATAACCAGATTAATGCCTTCCAGATATAAAGGAGGTATTGAATTTTTTTAATTTTTCTTTTTGTTTAAAGACCTTAGAAGTAGTGAATACTACGATTTCGGGAAAATAATGTTTGTTGAAAACTCGAATATCTTTTTTTCATTTATGTAAGTGAAAGTTTTTGTTTTTGTAATTTTGTGCAAACATGCATGACCACAATGTAAAAATGTGGTTCCCAGTTTATCTATTTGAATGACATTTGACTATTTCGTCGGATTTTATCAGCAATTTCAAGTCACTGCTTCTAAATCTATCAAGTAAAGTGGTTATTTTATATTCTTCAAACCTTTACATAACAACTGACTGAAGATTTTTTGTGCACTTAAGAGTTTAATAGATTCTTTCAGTCAGTCATCTGCAACGTAGGACCAGGAACATATACTCATCGGTTCAATTTGCCACAGCTCACAACAAGATGAACACCAAATTCATAGAAGTAGTTGCTTTTATGGTACTAAAAATGAAGATTTTATATGAGGATATGATACGGGGAAAGATAATCATTTAGCATAAAGAAAGGCATAAAGTATTTTGAATCTCACGGTTTAAGGGAAGACAAAGAGTGTATACACCTATTCCACTGTGATCCATTCTGGGCCATATCTCGTGTTTGCAGTCCACAAGTCTTTGCTAGGCGTCTGATAACTATTGAGGCTAGTGTTTTCGATGCTATATGAGTTGAACTAATCCCTCTATGGTTATCACAGAATAATTCTGATCCGTTCATATAGATTGGGACGATTAGTGATTGCGACCAGTAAGACGGGATTACTTTCAATTCCCAGATTTTAACTAAAATATCAGTCACTATAATCGCTAAAACTGGATCGCCATTCCTAAAGCCTCTAGAATTAATTCATCTGGACCAGCTGTTTTTCCTCGTTTCGGACCAGCTATAGCCTTTTAAAATTCAGATAGAATCGGGAGACCAGCTTCGATGTTCCATTCAGGCTGTCTGGGAATGGTGGGTAGCTGAAGGCCAGCTAACCTGTTTTCTAAAGTGTTTCACCCATCGTTCTAAACGTCTAATATGAGAGTAGATATGAGTATCGTCTTTTTCCGAGATAGTCTTACTTACAATTGACTTATGAAATCTAGTTTCTTTTATTATTCTGAAGAGCTGTCTTGTATCACCTACAGACGCCGCCTTTCCTGTCTCTTTTGCTTTTATTGCCCACCGCTGCTCATGGTCGTTCCTTAAACTTTTGGTTAATCTAGTTCTGATTCGCCCTCGCTTTTCATCCTCTTTAGAGCCTGATGGGATAAATTTACGATAGTCCATCAGTGCAATAGAGTTAGAAGAAACCAATTGGTTTTTTGTAACCATTTGGTTTAAATCACTAATAGATATCACTGCTATTTCCACAGCTGCTTGGGTGTCTTTTCAAGCAACACCTGGATCAGCCTCGTTCTAAGAGCTACCTAAATGTGACCTCAGTTGTTCCTGAAATCTAATTCGGCTTTCTCGCCAATGAATTCGATTCTGACGGGTCTCCCTAATATGGTCTTTCTGCGTCCAGTGAGGCGCAAGCAAATCCGTGCTCGTATAAGAGCATGATCAGAGTCAAAACATATACTCAAAAACGAGTGACAATCTTCTACCGAGCCTCTCCAACGATGACTGATGGCAATATGATATATTTGAGTCCATTGTTGGTTTGATGCAGGGGGTCGCCATGTTAGACGATGTCTTTTTTTATGTCTAAAATTAGTGCTTATTAAAAATAAACGATTGTCTGAGCACAGTTGCAGCAGACGGTCACAATTATCAGCTCGCTGAGCCGGACTTTCTGTTTGGCTTAAGCCACCTACTTGGGCAGTATGGTCACCTGTTACGAGTACGAGAAGTACGGAAAGCTTTCTGTAAAGTTCGTCTTCCACTTCATCTGGGCTGCAGTATGTGGGAGTGTGGGCAGAAACGACAAGAAGGCAACGGTGTGTGTTCCCATCCTTCCGAGTTTATATGCAGTCGTACAGCACATAGGCGACTGTTAACGGCGATCTATTCTAGTAATGCTCCTCTGCTCTTATACTTAGTGCTATGCCTGCATCCTCCAGTCCATGAGTACTTTCCATCGGTTCGCCAGATATACGGAGGGTGAGGCCAAACGAATGACCACACTAAGATCCTGTGTGCGTGTTTTGGAGACACAGAATACATCAGTGGTGCGAGATCCTAAGGTTTTAACCAAAGTGGCCTGCTGGCCGATTTGATATAGGGTGGGTACTTTGAAGGCTCCAATGTGCAGTTTGGAGAGAGGCTTCAGTAGGCGTGGGACAATATTTTACTCACTAGAATCGTTGGTTATGGTGACACTTGAGGAGGACGTTTAGAGTTAACAGTCGAGGTAGGAGTAATAACGGGAATTGAAGAAGGAGATAAAATATGAATACAGTGGTCTTGAGTGCTGTTAGAGGTATGAGGGTAGTCACCACTTCCCGGTTGACTAAACCGTGGAAGGGTTCTTCCGGAGGTACCTGAAAAGGAACTTGGATTGGAGGTGGTCTTAGTGATTGGAGAGCGTGACTTCAGTTCCCAAAGGACAACTGCTCGAAGCCGGTCACACACGACCTTTTTGTGGGTAAGTTTTGTGTTAGTCCCGTATCTTATTGTTGGAGACGGATATCCGTGAGATAAGGCGAGGTGTGCATTTTTAAGGTCGACCTTTTCTAACCTCGCCTCTTGTTGTGAGAAGACAGCATCGTTGTTATGTTGGTTGTCTGAAAGAAACACCTTACTGCTGTCACACCTCTGTACAGTCAGCAGTACGACTTCGCCTTCGGACCTTGGGTTTGTTGCTTTTAGTCTTACCGCTCTTCAACCGACCTGTCTGACATGGTAGGACCTTGAGGAACGGTTGTTTCAGCCAATATAACCCGGTTGCTTCATCACGATAGGCAAGGCATTATAAAGGAATAGAAGGTCAAATAGACCTTAACTTTGTAATGATGACGATTTTGGTTACATAAAACGTCCTACAAATAGCTAAGTTAAGTCTTTGATTCCACATAAAACTACTTGGCTCACATCTCAATGGTAAGGTAATATGGACTCATTTTTTGGATGTCAGAAAAGACATTATCAAAAAATCAAGGTATATGTTTCGTCAAAAGGCTCAAACATCATGTAAGTGATTGTCTCACATCCCATTGAGTCTATCAATTTACATTTACGTGCATAAACACATACATAAGAAGGAGCAATTGTGAGCTGCAAGTAAGAGTGGGTGAATACATACTTAGATGACTACAAAAACAGGATTAAGACTGGTCATAAGGTTGATATCAAGTCGGCCTTCGTAGTTTTGTACAAAATGTTTCTAGGGCATATACCAAGGTTTATTAAAGCCATGACTAGACGAAAACTGAAATCCCTTTTGCATGTTCAAAAAAATCTGTTCTTAACATTAACCAATCCTGGTAATACTGATTTATGATCCAGTAAGATTTTTAAACTGGTTTTGTGTACTTCGTTATTATCTTTGTTTCTACTTACCTTTAAACTCATCCGTTTGGCTTTTCATTTTTTTATATATGATGCATTAACAAGTATATGTGCGATCAGATTATCCGAACTATATTGCGCAAATACACCACATATTCCCAATAACCTTCGTCTTCTCATTGCATTGCAAAATCTTTGTTGACTCTTACTTTGTTAAGTCAAGTTTTTGAAATAGTTGTTATTAAAAACAATAAGCTGTTTTTCAAATGAAAAAGTTAACGTTTGAAATAATAGTTATTAGAAAGAATAATCTAAGTACGAAAACAAGTTACAGGTTTAATCCCCCAATAATCGTTCAATTAATCACTCAACAGAAAGTGTTTGGAATAATCCCCTCCCCAAAATAGAAAGCTTTAAAGTGTATTCCAAATTCCAATAGCAAATACACTTTACACAGATTCAGTACAACTAATTATCAATGTATGATTTCACAAAATTCTAAGCGGTATGCATAATCATTTAAAGCGTTATTTTCAAAAACTCTGCAGCGTGTATTATAAACTGACTATTATTTCAGAATTCTGAAATATAAGAGCATGTTGTTGTCAAACTGAAGTTATCTGAAAAAATACATTATTTGTGTGACATTTACCAATAATTATAAAGAGTGACAGATTTGAAAGTAAAAGTGTACAAACCGGTTGGTTTCTGTCAAAAAAAGCAGAAAAAAAATCATTTTTTTGAAACAGACTAAAGGTTATTTACCGAAAAATGATGGGTCGTATGTAAAAAGCTTTAACTTTTTAAAAAGCCTCTATGGCTTATTTACATAACTTACTAAATTTTACTATCTTTAGGCATA